TTTATTTTATTAGAACCCCTTTGTTTAAATCCTAGTTGAAGGACAAGGTCATTTTTTTGTCAGTAACTTTTTAATAGAGACCACAAAAATCACATGTGGTGTTCCCCAAGGGTCCATCTTAAGCCATCTTCTATTCAATAGCTACAGACCTTCCCTAATCTCAGATTATAATAAAGCCCAACTTAAATTAACATAAGTATACAGATGACACACAGCTTTACATTATGATTTTGACCAACTATGAACATATTCCTGTACTGCAATGCCACTGCAATGTACTTTTCCTAATATTGTAGTTTCTTTCAGCACTTGTTCAGTACTTTCAGTTTTTGCTGCTGGTTTCAAATAAATTTCCCACACACTTTATCTCTCTCCCTCTAAGATATATTAATGTAACATTTCGGTTATACCGACCAAAATGTTTTGGTCGTTTCGACCGAAAAGATGCGTACATTTTTTTAACAGTTAGACTACAATGCCTTAAAATATACCTTAAGTAGAGAATAAAGAGCTTGGAGAATGCAAAGGTGTCATTGCAAAGTAAAATGTTGGTACCAAAATGTCAATAAAAAAGATGGTATATTTCTAAACATTTAAGGTATATTACATTTCCATATGCATCGACTTCCCTAATGTAACAAAAAAAGACAACAATTATGACACTTTAAGAGTAAAAGCATCTACACACTAAATGTACAAATGTACAGACATACATAAGGCATTCGTTATTTAAAATATCTAATTATTTAATTAATTAGAAGCAGTTCCCACAGACATGCAGGAAGTATCATTGCAAAAGTACACTGCTGTGCTTACTTAACCTTCATAAGTTGCTTGTGACATAAGTCCATACATTTTTCAGTCGATCACTGTTTTTATAGTGGTTAAAGACAATATTACCAATTCAATCAAGTATGAAAAGCTCTTATATGCTACTGGTTTATCATTATGTATATCTGCATAAAATATTCTCTCACATTTTTTAATATATAATACAGTCAATTGGAGATCATAGGATTTTAACATTTTGATAGGTATCTGAACAATTTTTTCCAGTTAAGTCTCTTAATACGCGTTTTTAGATCATTTGTAAGGTGGTATAAACATACGTGAAGATGAAGGAACAAGACCAGTGGACAAGAATTTAGCCACTTTATGGCATTTAAAGTAAGTTTATAAGATTTTAGAGTAATTACTCATAATTTTAAACCTATTCTTGTGCAATATGTATAAAGGTTACATATATTTAAAGTATATTGATATATTCTATCTAACCCATAACTTATTGAATATATCTTCTGGCCTGAAGTAAATTTGAAATATCTGCTCTTTGTATCATTTGCAGGATGCACAGAGCAAAACAGCTCAGCCTAGACAGAAATGACTTCAGATTAGTATCTAATTTGTAAACATTATTGTAAGTCTGCCTCTTTAATTTTTAAGCAGTTTTCTTGTTCTTCCGAAGCATGTCTCAACAGTGAATTATTATTAGTGCCTTTTTAGTATGAGCTTTAAAATGTGGTTTTGAGACACAGATTGGAGATTACATAAATTTTAGGCTCTTTAAAACAAACTAACCATGTTTTAAGGACTTATCTTAATAAACCCGTTTCTTGAGATCAGCTGAACTACAGCAGTGGATTATAGATTTTTCATTTAGATCGAATTTGTTTATCTCTAAAAGGGCCAAATTATCATAATTTAAAATAAACTTGTACAGTTTGACAAATAATAAAGGATTGTTTGAAAAAAAAAAAAAACAATCATACAATTCAGAGTAAGGAGGTGAGGTAAAGTATTTAAAAGACTGTAACTATATTGGCCTATAGTTACAGTCATAGGGAGAGAAGTAGACTAACAATGAGAACAATGATCTTTTAAAACCACTGGCCCAGGAGCCATGAGGGGAAAAAAAATCCACACACCTGCATTGAAAGGTTATCAAATTTATACTGTATTACCACCCTGCCATCAGCAGGCTCCATGCTCCATGCTTTTTACCTAAAGAGTTCAGGAATAGGCACCAGCCCCCCATGACCCTGACAAATACAATCGTCCATAGGGAAGGAGGATTCTTGCTGTTGAGTAGGATCCCCAGACCAGTGAAGGGTCCCTTAAAATGAAATATACACAATTCTTAATTACATATTCTAAGAGGTAAATTGCTTGATAATGTATATTGAACCCAATCATTTTGGTAAAAAATATGCTAGTTTAGTACCTTTTCCTCAATTCGGGTTCTCTCTGCGTTGAATTCTGTAGTGTGCTAGTTCCATCTTAATTGAGATAAAAGCCCTACTTCAATGCCCGTCGATGTGGATAATTTCATGATTTAAAATTGTAAATATTTTGAGGCTCTAGACCAGAGGTAACCAATTAAAAATCAGCTGGGTGAATAAAGAAAATCAACAACCAGTAAAGGTCCAAAAATTTTTTTATTACTTTAAATACAATTTAACACTGATATAAAATTATGTTTTTATCCATCCATGTTATACATTGAATTTTTAAATAAAAAGATATAAAAAAAAATTGAAAATGTTCCCATTTTAAAATGAAAAGTGTTGTTTGAGTAGAGAACAACAATTGTTCAGTTTTGGTATGTCGACAATTTCCTGATTAACATATTTTATAAAACACCTGAACTGACCGTTTTTTGTTTTGTTTTTTCTTTCTTTTTTATGGCTTAATGAGAGAGGTGGGCTTTATGCTGTCTTGGGAGGTTTTTAAACCTGGGTTGAATGGCGACAAAGCCATTCTCAAGCACATATCAATGGGCTCACTTGTGAACCTGGATCGATATGTATTTTTTATTATGTTCATGGTGGAGAATCCTGCTTCACAGCAGTAGGTTTACTCATATTTGGGCACACCATTTCACTTTTCTGTCACCAGTTCTTCCTGCTGTCCACACTTTCTCTGCTCTCTTTTTCTCATCTTATTCTCCTTTTTCTCTGTTGTGTCTAAAAGTGGTTAGCAGCAGCAACCCAAACTGACAGCAGCTCATTGGCTAATTTGTATCAGGTTTAGCCTAGCCCCAGACGTTCTGGAGGGCTTTACCATGTTGACAGGATAAGCTAAGTAAAGTTAGACACTGTCATCAGACAGCATGTGGTGATTTATAAATGTTTTAAATCAGGTTGGATCTGGATTAGACCTCTGCTCCTGACTGATGAAATATTTGTCAACCCCTAACAGCTCTTAATTTTGATTGAGCCAATTACCTGAAAAAAGGCAACAATTTCTTCTGTCATCCTCATCTGCATACAACTACCTTCTGAGATGTATTATTTTCATATTGAATTAGAGTGCTGACTAAAGTTTTCAAAGACTGTTAAGTTTTGAATGCACTTTTTACTACCAAACAAAAAAAGAAAATTGTACTTTTTAAAAAATGTATAGAAAGGTTATCAGTTTTTTACCACTGCGCCTAACAGGTACACAGTTAAACCCATTTAAAACACTAGATGGCACCATTGTTTTAAAAGATGCTAACAGGTAAGGTAAACTTTGTAGATTTAATATATTTTGAGGCTCTCACTTAAATTGTGATAATGATTCATTAAAAATGCCCACATAATTGAAACCCTAAATCATAACTTTGCATCATCAATAAATATTTAATCAAAAATAAGAAACCAAAATGTAAGTAAACCAAAACGAGTTTAAGTATTCTTTACACAGTTTATTGTTAAATCATTATCAAATAGTAAATCCTTAAAATGATATATATCCTGGTTAAAAAGAAAAGGTTAACATCAACTTTATGCCTGGAGTTATAAACACTCACTTGTTTATCAAACCAAAATCTACACCAGTAAACCACAAGGGGGTGCTAAATATGTGAGAATTCTGAATTAATTAACGTGAGAATGGCCTACACTTGTGTTTCTAGGCTTTTAAAATTTTTGGTGTATTTTTGGTGTACTGGATTAAAAAAAGTTTCAATTTAGGAATTCTCTGATAGCAAAAAACAAACATACAAAAAAACAAACAAAAAAAAAACAACAACTCACACCATCACCTTTAAGGTTTATTCCTCTTTTCATCAGCTTCAGATGTTCCCATTTGTTTTTAATAACTAACCTGCTGGAAATGTGGACAGCAGCTAAAATACAGCTCCTCTATGAATCATCCATCATTCAGCCAATCTCCTCAGTCTTTTTTCTAGTTTGCCATTTAGGTTTTTTCAACTTAATTTTAGCTCAACACTCAGACTGTGAATAAACTCTATCTGAAAATTCATATACTTTTTTTTAATATTATTTAGAAAAGGAAATAAGTACAGTCTCAAACATGACCAAATCTGACATGTTTAAGGCACAGAGGGCTGGGTGAAAATAATCTTGCTGATGGCTTTAGGTTGTAATGGAAAGTTAGCAGTTCTTGCATTAAATAAAAAAACATTCAACTTTATCTACCTCAATTTTTCTCTACCAAAAAGCTTCCATCCTATTTAAATGTCTCATTAATTTTTGTCATGAGACAATGGCATTGTAATAATTCCTCTCTCCCCTTAACTGATGGCAATTCCTTCTTTTTTACTTGCGAATGCACAACCTTTTATAAGATTGGGCTTAGAGGAAAGGCAAAGTATTTAGTAAACTCCCTAATATGCTTCTCTGAATGGAAAAGCTCTATTTACAGATGCTTATTAAAACTGTGCATTTCGAATGAAAGCTCAATCTGTCTCATGTTTGTACTAAAATGCTTTTAGCATATTAACCATGGTCTTTGACAAACATATGCCAATAGTATTTTCGATTTGACATCAATCTTTAATCCTTAACTGTAATAAGCATTTGACCCAATAAGGTCTAAAGTTGCACAATATATCCCAAATACTCTTGGTGCTTTTTTTATGAAGAGAACTGAAATGAGAATATGTATATCTATTTTATATCTATCTTTGTATATCTATTTTCTGAATGCAAACAAGATCTGTTTTTAATATCATGAAACCCAATTCCTTTACTGTTTTGTTTTTAATCTTTGTTTTATTGATAGTTATACAGAAAAATATAGGCATAATGTTTCACAGAATATTTTGAGATATAAATACAATTAAAGGAGAAAGAAAAAACTGGATAATCATTCAGGACGTTGTTTGGACAACATGTTTAAATAACATTGCAAAATACACTGAGAGACAAATCTTGAGTATTGCATGAACTGTCAATTAAACTGTCCTTGAGTATTACCACAATGGTTACATTCAAAGATAATAATTTATGTTATTGTTACATAATATTTAATTTTGCATTAATAAATACGACAAAACTAACACAAACAAATTTCAATAGCCTCAATTCTAATTGCACAATATTCGGATCTATGGTATCAAGTCTCAATAAAAGCTTAAAACTTTAAATTCATGATGAATTCCTAGTTTCCAATTAGAACAACATCCTTGTTCATACCAGAAATAGTTAAATTTTTTTAGCATTTGCTTTCTGTGAAAACCAGCAGAGCCAATTATTACTGGCTTGACAGGAGCCATGACAGCAAGATCATGCTGAATGCAGTGATGAGGCTGATATTCTGGCTTACTCCACTTGACGTCTCTGTAAGAGTGTAAAAGGGGACAAATACTTTTATTATTATAAACTTCCCAGTCATATTGAAAGTTTTGCAAAATATTTCTTTGTGATAGTGTAGATTGTATGTAGCTTAGCTTACGTGTGCCATCAACAGTAATGGAACTGGTGTCGATGTTGAAAGCTGTGATGGTTGAAGCTGCATTGACCAAAACCTTTGATATCTGGGTGTTATTAGGAGCTGTTGCTAATGCAAATTTGAGGTCAATATTGTTGATGATTGACCCATTACTGCAAGGATGATAAATTATCAGTTAATTTGTGCATATGTTCATTAACAATAATCAGATTTTTTTCTACAAATCCTACCTAAATGACCTCACAGTGAAGTCTCGGAATGAAGAAGCAAACTCTCGCTGATAAAGTGGTTCAAGCTGTAGAAAAAAAAGAAGAGTTTTCTATGAATAGTTTATTTGCATAATTCAAAGTGTAAACACAAGTATGTTTATATTTAAAATTCATTCACATTTAACTAGTTTATTGGTACAAGAATTCCAAAAATT